TAAAGATCTCCGGTTGTCTTGCTTTGAAATCTGTATCTCTTACACTGCTTTCTTACGTTCTGTTTTGTTGTGTTTAATCTTACCGTCTTTAAAATAAAATTTAAAAAAGAAAAGAGTATTTCATAGCTCTTCTCTAATTACTTTCTAAAAGTCTCAAAACGTATTTATAATACTAATATATTACAGGTGTGTGGTGATGCACACCAGTAATCCTAGCCTTCGGGAGGCTAAGCCAGGAAGACCACCACAAGTTCCAGTCCAGTCTGGCTACACAGTAAATTCAAGGACAGTCTGAACTATACGTAGTGAGACCCTGCCTCAAAAACAAAAAAAGTACCAATTTCATGAGTTTATGAGTCTTATAATTACTGGGATCACCAATTTTTGATATCAGATGTTAAAAGATAGTACCTTATTTTCAACTTTTTTCTAACACAGTTGAAAGTTTTCCACGTTTTTGTATTTCTTCCAGACTTTTTGAACTATTCATTGCAGTCAAGATCCTATCACACATTTTGTGACAAACCCCTCTTCACAATCTAATGGGTGTTGGTTCTGTTTTGTTTCGTTTTGCTTTTTGAGACAGTCTCTCTATGTAGTTCAGGCTGGTCTTGAACTCACTACGTAGCTCAGGCTGGCCTGGAACTCATAGCTATCCTCCTGTCTCAGCCTCTAGAGTGCTGGGACTGCAGGTAAGTGCAAAATTTCCTGTCAATCTAATAAGTTTTAAAAGTTACGCATTAATTATGTTCTGTATAAAGTCAAACATACAATTTCAAAAGATAAGGCTTTTAAAAAAGAAAAGCTAAGTTCTGAGATTTTATCCACATGGACTGGTGCACTCTTAGTAAGACTGTTTCCCAAGCAGATGTGTTAAAGATGTGAATGTAGCCGAATGTGAGTGATGCCACATCCCTGTAATCCCAGCACTCAGGAGGCTGAGTTCAATACCAGCCTGGGCTACAAAGTGAGCTCAAGGCTAGCCTGAACTGCATATTGAGACCTTGTGGCAAAAAGATTTTTAAAAAAAGACGTGAATGCACAAGCAAGCTTGTCTATTTGTATTTATAACTATAAATTATGAACCTCAAATTAGACCCTAGAAATTATCATAAAGATCCACAATTAGTCATAGTTGAGAAGCATAAAATATCTGCTTCCCTAATTCCAAGAGTTAAACCTCTATTCATCCTTTACAATACTACTCAGGTGTTAACCACTTCCAATATCTTCTCTACCAGCCCAAGTCAGTTTCTTTTGTACCTTATATATAAAGAAATTGCACTGCTGTATTTATAGACCCAACCCGAAGTGATTTGTTAATGGCCAATTTCCTCCAACAGAGTATGAGCTCCATACGGCAGTCACAGAATAATCCTCTCAGTATTCCTAGCTCTTACATGGAAAACAGGACTGTAAAAGCGGCAAACCCAAACTGCTCATAAACAACTCGGGGATTTTCACATAGCCAACAACTTTACAAATATGTCCTCCCTTCACACACACTTCCTTTTCTCTTTTGTCCTCCCTTCATACACACTTCCTTTTCTCTTTTTCCAGGGCCTCACATATGCTAGCCAAGCACTCTCCCGAGCTTCATCCACCCCTCTAACCCAACCGTCCTCTCCGAATGCCTGTATATTTGCATCATGTAATAATTTACATAACCATCAAGAGCAGGATTAAATTATTGTGGATTTTTTCCAACAGCAGTTAAGCTAGTAGTAAACAAAAATACAACTTTAGAATGAACTTTTAAAAAATCTTTACCATCATACTTACCTAAACTTTTTATGACATACCATAAAACATTAAATAGCCCATGTATCTACTAAAATCTTTCAAAATTTTATTGTGCATATATATATATATATATATATATATATAGTATATAACATTTAGAGACAAATACATGAAATGATTACTATTATAAATATATCTGCCACTCACATAGTTATCCAAATCTACTAAAATTCTAAAGACTAACCATCCTTTGATACTGATAAAAAAAAAAAACTACTTCTGCTCTTTAGAGTGAAAATTACTTCTAAGATTAGTACCTATAGAAAAAGAACTCTGCCAGTTATTACAACATTCAAGTAACTTCACAGCAGGATTTCCTTCTTGGAATATGAATATATTTTTTTTCCTTTTTTTTTTTGAAAGGGTCCTGCTGTGTAGTTGAGGCTGGCCTTGAACGCATGGCAATCCTGCCTCTGCCTCTTGAGTGCTGTGATTACAGGCATGTGTCACCACGCCCAGATTGGACAATGTATACAAAATATCTATATATGAAATGAACTCATAGAAAGTAATGCTATTTTGTAAATCATAAGATTATTGTAGATACTCAAACATTTATCACTGGTTTACCAGAGGCTAATAAATACAAGCAACCACAAAGTATAACCAATGGAGAGTGACTAATTATTTAAGCAGTTTATGGTCTCCATCAACTGATAAGTAAAGTATTTTAGTTTCATTAAACCACAGTATTTTGAAGCAGCCAGTCATGCCCTCATGTGCCCACCACCATCAGGAAAGCCTCATGATAGCCACATGGGTCCAGAGAAGCCTGCTCTGTGCCCCACCATCTCTCCAAGAACCTAGGTTTGGAGAAACCCCAGTGCCTGGCCATTCCCCTGCACTGTGGATGGGCTCCCAATGTGGGAAGCACTTGAGAGCCCACAATGGGCTCATCTGGAGGAACCCCGGACAAAGTCAAGACAACAGAGCAAAACACAATCTCATACTTGCAGCCCACATAGAAAAAAGAGACACAGACGTACAAGAAACTAATAGTCACACACCTGAAATCTCTGAAATGATAGCAGCTGAAGTAAAGAAACAACTTCACCTGAGGCCATAAAAAAAAAAATCAGATCAGAAATAATACCTCACACAAAAGAAGAAATGACACCATAGTGAAAGAATTGCTAAGCATATCTAAGAAAGACATAGATTTTAAAAAGATGAGCAGAGGAAAATGATGGAAACCTTGAATGAACAATATAAGAAAGAATTAGAATGCATGAAACAGATGCAAAGAGATATCCAGGAAATTAAAAACTCCATTGAAAGCCGGCAAAACCACTTGAACAAAACTGAAGATAGACTTTCAGACCTTGAAGACAGGATTGCAGCTAGCAATCGCAAAAGGCAAGATATCTTAAAAATAACAAGGAACAAGGAAATGAAAATTCAACAGCTGCAAGATGACACAAAGAAAAATAATTTAAGACTAATAGGTGTCAATGAAAAAGCAGCAGTGAACACAAATGACATAAAGACTATTTACAGAAGTAATAGCAGAAAATTTCCCAAGTGTGGGAAATGGATCTGGCATGCAGATGAGTGAGGCATATAGGACTCCACCTAGCCATAACCAAAGTAATCTACACCCAGACATTAATAGTCAAGTGCCCAGAAATCTAACACAAGGACAGAATATTAAAAGCTGTTAGAGAAAAAGAAATGGCTCACCTATAAAGGAAATCCTATCAGAATCACAGCAGACTTTTCAACATAAACCATCAAGTCAAGAAAAGCTTGGAAGGCTGGAGATTTCACTCAGCGGCACAAGTGCCTACCTGGCAAGTGCAAGGTCATGAGTTTGATCTCTAGTATCCAAAAAAAAACACCTTGGAATGAAGTATTTCAAATCCTGAGGGGAGGAAAAAAACATCTTCCAACCATATTGATGTATCCTGCAACACTATCTTTCAAAATTAATGGAAAAATAAGATACTTCCATGACACAGAACACCTAAAGAAATTCATGACCACCAAACCAACCCTACAAAGAATACTGATAGATATTCTAGAAAGAAATAAAAATGACCACAATTCCAACAGCAACAGAAAGAAATCATCAAGCAGGGCAAGCAACTGAACAGAGAAAAGTAGGGAACTAACAGCAGGAAAATAACATGACAAAGACAAGCCAATACATCAGTCATAACCAGTAATGTAGATGGCCTCAAGTCACCAATAAAAACAAACAGGCAGAGTGGGCCAAGAAACAAAATCTGTCAATATGCCATATATAAGAAACGTATATAACTCAAAAGAAAATTCAGACTGAAAGTCAAAGGAGAGAAAACAATACTCAATATGACAGAAACCCAGGAAAAAGCAAGGGTAGCTTGCCCATCAATCACAGAATGGGTAAGAAAGAAAGAGTGTTTTTCCATGCCCTGACACTCTGCCTTGGCAAGACCTAGAGACTCAGTGGGCCAGTGTGGGCTGGGAGAAGAAGCCATGCTCCAACGCTCCACAGCCATGAGCTGAGCATCAGTGAACTGCAGGTCGAAGCCTCTCCCCGACTCCAGGAACTCCGGAATCAGAGGAACCCAGATGCCTAGTCCAATTCCCTACAAAGAAGAACTGGCAGCTAAGGCAGGAAATGCCCAGGATGCAGCAACAGGCTAATTTGGAAAAACACAGAAAATGTCAAGATGAAGAAGCAAAATATAATCTCAGACCCCCCCCAACCCACCCAGAACAAGTTCAGGAGACACAGGCGTAGTAGAAATTAGAGGTCACATATCTGAAATTTCAACTTAGGTCTTGTATTGTTTGGTTAACTTTACATGCCCATGTCTGATGGTCTGGGAAGCTATTTTTAAGGTAACAAGATGCATTATGGTAACCATCGTTAATTTTCTAGTATCTTTTGATACTAGGAGTTTTGAACTCCTATATCATTTTCATTGTTTTGTTTTGTTTAGTTTTATCATATCTGATGATCTGAACAGCTATCCTGAAGATAACAAAATGTATTATGGTACCACTATTGATTTCCTATTATCTTGTTTTGGAAGTCCTGTATTGCTTTCAATGTTTTGTTTTATTCGGTTTGGTTTTTTTAAAATCTCTTTAAATTTAAAAAACAAACAAATAAACAAAACTGACCCACAGTATTTCAAAATGACACACCACACTTTCTGGCCAAAGTTCTTATACAGTCACTTTTTGTCATTGATGGAACAGAGGCTCACCTGACAAGTCCAGCTCCTCAGTGGAAGACAAGTTGGCCAGACTCCAGCTGTCACTGCGGGCTGCCAAGACAAACTTGTGAGCACTAATGTGCCTGTCCCCAACCTTGATCTTCAGATCACTGACAGAGAAAAATATCCACAAACATAAAAATGAAATGTCATCATAACTAGGTATACTTAATTATATTAGTATTGTATAATAGTCTACAGCTAATAAAGACATAGGTACTAACTGATCAACATGCATCTACAAAAGAAAAAAATCACGGCAAAATTATTTCTATGGTTGCACTAAAGTTTGGAAAATGTCTACAATACGTTGCTGGAACTGTTTTTTATTTCTATTTCTAACTTCTATTGAATTCACGTAAAATATTCTTCTAACAGGGTTCTTAATGGTGGTGAGCTATAAGGTAAGTAGAATGAAGAAGATATTTTATGCAGAATAAATCATGATAATACATCACAGAAAGAAAGGTGGAAACCTTAGGGACTGTGATGACAACCTTGAGATTACACTGTAACTCTGCTCCATATTAACACTCAAGCAAAATTAAGCAGAAAAGTTATAATCACACTGACTTCGACAAAGCAGTCAAGAATCAGAAACCCAATACCTGGATACCTGTTCTCAACAGCAACATTTAGACTTAATGTTGGTCATTTATTACTCAGCCATTTATAAAGAAATGAGGTGGGAAAAACCTTTTCTTTCTTTCAAACGTGTTTCTACTATTTATGATACACCATTACATGAAAAGAGCTCCTGGAACACATATTTATGTTTACCTTTGAAATGTCAAATATTAAGGGAGGAAAGCATCAAGGCAATTAACAAAAAAGCCGAATGACCCACTGGGCCGACAGGAGCAGAGCCATAAAGCTACAGACACAAAGGCAGTCATTATCATCACCCTGCTTGTATTTATATACTTCTTTCCATTTGTGACCCTCCCATTACAATCATGTATTAGGTTGGAAAGCCATTAGAAACTACATTTTAAGAACTATTACATGGGGTAAAAGAAAAGAAAAACGACTGCATGAATTAACTCACTCACCTATAAAGACCCAAGCAGAACTGCTTCTATACAATGCATGACACAAATTCAACACCACAATATATTATTTAAAACATACTTTATAAGCATCTAAGAATACCAATAATTCTAGTTCTATTAAAGAATAAGCTATAATTAACTATATTAGATCTGAAGAGTAATATTTATTATTTCAAGTTGTTTCAAGAGCTATAAAACATATCAATAAATATAAAGAAAAAACAGAACTAACATTCTAGTCAGGCACGGTGATGCACTCTTATAATCCCGGCACTCTGTGAGGCTGAAGCAGAAAGATTACAAGTTCAAGCCCAGCTTAGGCAACTTAGTGACTTAGACCCTGTCTTAAAATAACAAGTACGAATCAGAGGTGAGGAAGTGCTCAGTGCAAAGGCCCTGGGTTCAATTCCTAGTGCTAAAATAACAACAACAACAACAGTAATAATCATAATAAAATTCTGTTTAAAACAGTACATGAAACTGCCTCAAATCATATCTTATCCTAAAGTTTTAAAATTTCAGTGAAGACAGGAAGCTACTTACAAAGCACAAATAATTTAAGTCTATTATATTTATAAAGAATTAGATTCTAATAACTTAAGTGGTTTTTTACTGTCTTTACAGTATAGACATTCACAAATTCACAATTCTTACCTTTAGTCACAAAAAAATTATAAAAGTAAATGTTATACAACTGCAAGTGTGTTTAGGTGTGTAAGACAGTTGACCATATTACTAAGTTTTTGTTGGATCATTGAACACAACTGTTTGCAGTCTCACTGTTTGAATGTCCACTTTGTATGGTTTAATTTTGTAACTTGAACAACTATTTCTAAGATGACAATATGTAATCTATTAACTAGTGATTTCTTACTGCTTATTTTTTTGAAATTCTGTATTACTTGTACCCTTTTACTGTTTTGTTTTGTTTTTCTTTAAATAAAATTTTTTTAAAAAAGTAAATGTTTTTATAGGATTTCTAATTATAAAACATCAAGTCAAACAGTTTTTTCTATCTTTGGTTAGACATATTGTAGGGAAGAAAAGACAAGGATTTCAGTAAAAAAATGTTAGTAATAATTTTATTTTTTGATTGGTGTGGTGTGGTATTGTATGGGTTGGATTAGGTTGTTTTGGTTTTGCTCCTGAACTTACTGCATAGGCCAGGCTGGCCTTGAACTCCCGACAGTCCTGCTGCCTCAGTGTCCCAAGTGCAGGGATTACCAGCCACCACTCTTGGCTTGGATGCTCGAGAGAAGACAGTCTTGCTATCAGACTGGGGTTGAACTCATGGTGATCCCTGTGCCTCTGCCTCCTGCTGGGATTACAGGTGTGTACCACCACACCCAGCTTTTAATAATAGTTTTTAAAAACACACCAGAGTTAGGGGTATAGTTCAGTAGTAGAGTGCCTACTAGCATGTGCAAGACCCTGGGTTTGATCCCCAGCACTGCAACCAAATCAAAAACGAACAAAAACAGAAAGTCTAAAGTTAAATCTAAGATGACTGACTCTATGTAGAAACCACTAAAGGCTTAGTAACTTTTTAAAACTTCATTTTTATCAATGCTAGTTTTTCGTGGCCTGAAGGAAATACAGCATTTGCCTAGCGTGCTCAAGTCTGTGGGCTGGGTCCCAGAGACCATGAAAGAAGGAGTGGGGAGGAAGGGTGTTTGTTCCACATTTCTTGACATAAAAACCCTCCATATCAGTCACTCTAGTTATTGAAATGTATATAAAAATACTATTTAGGTTCTTCAACAAAATACATGCCAGAGAACAAAGTTTTTTTTAACATCTTGGTAAAAGACATCTATAAATTCCTAGACATGTGAAGTAATTCCTACCTGTCTTCGCAGTGCGGTCACCATGATGCCCACACTGGGCTGGAGACAGTTATTAAGAGTTTTTCAAAAACTCTCCCTCAAAAGCTTGACATTCTAGGGTACGCAGGCTTGCTAACAATCCTGCTTAGAGAGCGTTGCCTTGGGTGAGAGAAGCTGTACTGCTCCGTGATGACCCAGGAGTAAAGCAGCAGCTCGCAGTTGGCACACCTAGATGCTCACCTGTACTGCTCCTGCTCGAAGAGCTCGGCCACTATGGTTAGCAAGCGGCTGATGAACGACCCACTGCTACTTTCCCTGTTTGCTTGTGCCGCCAGAAGAGTGCATCTCTTCTCTGTCTCCGCCAGTTTCTTCTGAAGCTTGACATATTCTTGTCGGAGAAGCATCAAGTGCTTCTCCAACTTGGCCACCTCCTCTGCAAAAAACCCGAAAGAACTAAGTTTAACATGGCAGGTGTAAAGAAGACAATATTCAATGCTCCTTGGTCCACAGACAAGAAGGCTACTAAAGTAAGCAGGCACATGGCATTTCTACCACTGTGACAGTCCTACAGGATGAGAAATGGCTTTGTTTCCAAGTACTGGTCACTAAGCTGAGAAGACAATCACGTACATTATAGAGGCCAACAGGTAGTTTGGGCCTGGTGGCTTGGGTAGGTAAAGATCAGCCTGGACTATACAGTGAGACCTTATCTCAAAGAAAAAAAAAAGGAAGGAAAGAAAGAAAGGAGGAATGGAGAGAGGGAGGAAGAGTAAGCCAGGTATGAAGACACATGCTTATAATCCCAGCACTCAGGAAGCTGAGACTACAGATCCCGATGAATTGGAACCCAGCCTGGGCTACAGAGTGAGTTCAAGGTCAGCCTGAACTACACAGCAAGACGTTTTTTCAAAAAGACAAAAACAAAACACAAAGTTTTGACAGAGGTGTCTGACCTACAAACCCTTCCCCATAGGCCAGACCTCTAAAGAAAAGGAGGCTATCAAAGTCATCTAGGAGGCTTTTCTAAGCCACTCGTAGTCATAGCCAGTCTCTACCTGTCATGTGCTCTTCTAAAGGCTTACATAAATTCTCTCGGGTAATCTTCACAACAACCCTGTAACGTAGCTACATTCCCAACCAACTTCACAGACAAGGATACCAGGCACAGAGAACCTACGAATGTGCCCAGTCACAGTTTGTGAGACTCAGGACTGGGATGTGGGCACAGGCATGCATCCTTATTCCAGGACTGTGATTTCCCTAGCCATTACCCTGCACCACCTGACACACGCCCTCCTTCAGATGAGGGCCAGGACAGCCCATAGCAGCTCATATGGAAGTAAGCCACTTTCACAAGTGCAGAAAGGGCAGAAAGCTGAGAACCACTGAGTTTTGTTTTGGTTATTTTGGAGACAAGGCCAAGCTATGTAGTTCAGAATGATCTCAGACCTGCAGAGATCCTCCTGCCTCAGCCTCCCAAGCGCTGGGATCATAGGCTTGTGCTCCACCTGGCAATTAACAGTGTATCTGTTTCACTAAATTTAATAAACATTTACCCAGTATCTACCGGGTGCCAGACACTAAGCAACAATAAGCATGATCAGACATAGGTGCCCTCAGAGCTTTTAGGTACTAGGAAAAATAAAAATAAATCAAGTGACTTTTATTATAAATTTACAGCAACCAGCAAAATCAAATATAAAACTAAAAAAAAGCAGAGCACTGAGAGCCCATAAAGACACTTCACTTAGAAGCCAGGAGGGCTTTGCTATGGAAGCAAACAGTCACAAACCGCTCCTTTACCTAGCTCTAGAGTCTCAGCAGGGCACAGGGTTGAGGAGCTCAATTAACTGCCAAGGGAACCTCTAGAAATCATCTCTAACTATGAAGCCGCCCACTGCTACAGTCACCTTCTGACCTCTGGCCCCTCCACCTCCCTGCTCCTCACTAGATATTCTGTTCTCAAGCCCATCTCTCATCCAACCTGCCTCCTTCTCAGCCGATCTCCTGAGAAAGACTGAGCCAGCATCCCCCAATACCAGCAATGGTTCCCGCCTCACCTGCTCCAAGCTTCTGCAGTGAAGGAGGTACCTCCCTCCCTCCGATCCAAGTTCAATCCCTCCAAACAAGCTCCAAGTCCCACTCCTTTCCCCACCTCCTCGGGGGCCCTTGCTTTCCCATCAACAGCCTCTTCCCCTGAGACTGCAGCCTCTGTCAGAGTGCTTCTCCTTGGCACAACAAAACCATCCAGCCACACAGCTCCTCCCTGCCACCTCTAGCTGCCACAGGCCATCTCCTCACCAGTCACTCACTTGGGAGTCCCTCGTTCTGCTCCCCCTGCTCCTGGGCTTCCTCTCTCCAGTGACCGGCACTGCCAGAGGCCACGGACTCTTGTGCTAATTCTCCTCCTGGACCTCTCTTTGCTTCTCTCATTTCTGCAACCACAAGGCTGCCCTCTTTCTGATTCTGGTTCTCTTCTGCACACTACCCTGCATCTTTCCCATAAGACCACTAACACTCCTCAGGGTTCTGCCCTTGGCCTTTTCTCAACTATGTATTTGGCCAAGACTGACTCAACCACGCTGATACCACAACCTAGGTACCTGGTTTACCCACCTCTCTAGTCCAGATGTCTTTTCTTTGCTTCATCTATCCATTCGCCCAATGGGCGTTTCTTACTAGTGGCCCACAGGCACCCCAAATTCACTAACTCTGTTCTTTCCTCCCGTGGTCCCTATACTAATGAACGACATCACCATCTATCCAAGGTCCCTAAACAAGCTACATGGGTAGATATCTTAGTTATGTCCCACTCACCCACAGAGGCCCAACATTCGTGAGCAAATACCTCAGAGAACCCTTTGTCTTCTGTGTCCCCATCACCAAACCACTTTAATTCAGGCTCTCAGCCATCCTATCTGACTCTAAGGTAAAAAAAAGAAACAATAAATACCTTCAAGCTGGAATCTCAGAGCCTATCACAAAGTCTGACAGACTGGCTGTCACAGTTTGTATCTAGATGTCCCTCAAGACTCTCATGTGCTCACTGGTGTGAGGAGCGGCTTTCGGACTGAATTATGGAAGCCTACAAGCTGATGTGCTGTAAGGAGAGGGTCTGGAGGAGGAGGCAGAACATGTCTTTTATGGGCCAAGTATAACAGACTAGGTGGTGTCTTTTTGAGATCGGAAGGGCAAATTAATTTGCTTCTCTTATAAACAAGTAATACGGCATGAAAACAGGACCAAATGTAGCATCAAAGTAGTACCTACAAGGAAACCACACACAGAAGGGATGACAACAAACCCAAGTCACAGAGAACCAGAGAGTGATCTGCATGGTAATGTATTACAACTCAAAGGATCAGTGGGAAGATTTTATGCTAATCAAGAACCAATGGGAGAACAGGAGAAGGGAATATGAAAATGTCTGCCTTTAAGAAAGAAACTGCTGGGCCAAGAATTTAGCTCAGCAGCATCAGTGGCTGCCTGACAAGTATAAGGCTGTGAGTTCGATCCCGGTAAGAAAAAAAAAAAAAAAACAAAGAAACTGCTGATTCTTCTATCTAATCTTTCAAACAAGGTAGATCCTCAAAGTTTTGTTCCAGCCATCTTTCTCCTTCACTGCTCTCTCAAGGAAATCATTTGTTTTGTCTTTTCTGAGACAAGGTCTCATTATGTAGTTCAGGCCAGCCTTGAACTCACAGCTATTCTCTTGCATCAGCCTCCCAAATGCTGCAATATAAGCATACATCACCATGCACTGCCTCTCATGGAAATCCCATACATCTTTCTTGGATACAGTTATATATAGGTAATTCCAAAATCTATACCAATAGTTCCAGTCTCTCCAGAATTCCCAACGTAAATTTGTAACTACTGTCTGAACACTAACCTAAAACAAAGAGGTAAAAGCAGGATTTAGGAAGATCTAGATTTTAGACTAAAAAATTATAAACACTCTCTTACCTGGAGCCTTGGATATGGGGAAACCCTGAGGATCACAAATGCTCTTAAGGCAATTCAGGAGCACCTGTTCATGCACGTGTGCATGGTGGTGCCATCTGCCAACCCATCCCATAGCATAATGGAAAGACTGCTGGGGGCTGAGCTGTTTTCTGTGAGGAATGCTGCTTGCTTGCAAACAGCAAGAGCACATGTGTCCTTGAAGGATCACCAACCTACAGTGCATACAAGAAACAGCACAAAATTACCAAGCTGAGTGGCCCTGGAAAGAGAATCCACAGCACCATGCAGCAGTCAAGAGTATGGGTACTAGAGCTAGACCAACAGGGAACAAATCCCCTTCCAGCTGGGACAGCTTAGCAAGCATCACCTTCTCTACCAACGTGAACAAGAAAAGTACCTATGCATAAACAGTCTTAGAATAGCGCTTGCCTTATAGTAACTGGTCAGTAGATCTCAGCTATTCTAATTCTTAAAGAAGCAAAACAGGACAGTCCTTACAGGATGTATGTCAAGCCTCTTCAACTGGGTTTGACCCCAGCTTACCAATTTACTACCTGTGACCTGCAACAAATTACTCCTCTCTGTATTATATGGAGTGACTGAGGTAAGATAGGTTTATCACATCCATGTGTGACACATACCTATCATTTCAGCAACTCGGCAGGCTGAGGCAGGTAAGTCTGAGGCCAGCCTGGGGAGCTCAGTGAAACTCTACGATAAATAAGCAAGCAAGCAAGCAAGCAGACAAGCAAGATGAGGCTATGGCTCAGTGGTAGAGCATTTGCCCAGCACATACAAGGCCCTGGGTTTAATCCCCACTACCACCAAAAAAAAGCACATCATTTAGAATACTAAGTGTTTAATATGATTTAATTCTACTACAAGGTTGCATCTTTTTCCCACTCTTTATTTTCCTCTAGAAAATAAGCCCAGTAATTTAACTGATAGTCTATAGTTTTGTCAGAAAAGCTATGCCATCAGTGAAAAATGTCAGCAATCACCATTTACAGTTTTATCATGTTTCTTCCCAAATAACCACTTGACTTTCACCAAGGCAGTTTGAGGTCAGACTTGTTTTTTCCCTTGAGACAGAGTCTCACTGTGTAGTTCAGGCTGGCCTCAAATTCACGGCTGATCCTCTTGCCTCAGCCTCCCAACTGCTAGACTACTGGCATTTGCCACCACGCCCTAGACATTTTAATAAGCATCCCTGCTATAAATTTTGTTTGTTGTGCCTCTAGGAATTCCCAGCCCTCTCTAAATCTTGAGATGAAGCCTTGCTAAGTCACTAAGTTGCCCAGGCTGGCTTCATTTTGTCATCCTCCTGGCTCAGTCTCCCAGACTGCAGGGACCACAGGTGTGCATCACCATGCCTGGCTAATCTATCAATTCTGATGTGGTCCAAGACAAAATCTACATTCATGGTGAACAGAATTAACCTAAAACAAAAAGCCCAATGTCTATTTT